AACACTTCAATTTGATGATGATAATCGAATATCATCGATGCAAAGTGAAATATATCTAGAATTGTCTATAAAATGCGCCATTATTTGGAAAATCTCAAACATTTGTCGAAATTTGCGACCAAGCGTTTGTACATTCCATTCGCAGGCCTCTTTATGGAATTCAAATGATATACAAGGAACTATGGCATTGTATTATATTGTGTCGTGACAAGTGAGGTAATGTGTTTTACCCGTCTAAAAAGCCAGTTTTCAGATTTAAAATGCTTATAATTTATAATAATAATCCAATACAATCAAGATTGTCTAACAGAGCAACTAAGAAATACATTGGAAGGTGAATAATTGAGGCACATATTTACAACACAGTGGGTTCAACATGCATGTGCAGACAATGTAAAATGTTCTTGCTCAATTAAATGTATGCCACAACAACAATAACAACAAAAAGACACATATTGGACAATATTTTTGGATGGATGCATTGTAGGCAACAATTCACTCATAATGTATCTTCCTCTGGCCAGGATCCAAGAACCTTGTCCTTTACAAAACTAGTGAATCACACACCACCATCAAAACATCTGGTGACCTTCTCTCCCATCTATTTTTGCAGTATTTTCCATCCAAATCAATCAGTGTGCTCTCTGCCACCTCTGAATCACTCCTAACAGGCAACTGCCAGTCACAAACTGTGTACATCCAGACCACCAGAGGCAGAGCCAATTAGCCAGGCCATAGACAGCCTGACAAAACGGTTACAGTGCTCATTAAACCAACAATAAACATAAAGAAAAGCTAGCCTTACCTTGAACCAGGTGTTGTTTGGGGCCTTTTTCAGCGGCAGAAGGGTTCACTACAATTTCCAATTCCATGGGACATCCTGTGTTAGTTCGTCCCAGTCTGGAAAACTTGTCCTCTCGCCGTCTCGAAGGTGCAGTCAGAGCTAGCTTAGCGCATAGCACAGGTGTGTTGATTGCTTCTTTGGGGGCAGTTGTCAACACCAGTGCTAGCTAGCATCAATGTCAGCTCCAAAAAAAGAACAGTTACTCTGAACTCCCAGCGTCACAACTCACTTCTTCAGTTGGTGTTGTGTTGTTGTCTGTCACTCGTTTATTCTTTGTGATAAATGCATCAGTTCTGTAGCGTTTTCAAGCGGCATGAATATAATTAGCAAACACTTGCAAGGATCCTCACGGGCGAATTGTATAAGCCCCGTCCCTAAGTAGGTAACTTGTTTTGTATTTGTATTGGACTAATATTGAGAACATGAAACTCCTCCTATGTACATGTCTTATTAATGAAAATAATCTTAACAATAAGAACTAAAATGAAAGAAATATAACTAAAATAAAGAATGGTGAGAAGAACATTTACTCAATTGTTGTAAATCAGTACATGTTTTTTTCATACAACATTTTTGTGTCACATTTCACTACATAAAAACTGCACTGATTCACATCAATAAAATACAATTTCATTCATTCATACAACAAATACAGTTATTCCCTTCTAAATGAAATAACATTGTTGAAATTCATTTTCCCTTAAGTTGTGGTGGAAATTAAATATATTGGAAAAATGTCTATGCACACGTTACTATTAATACAATATATTTTTTTAATTGATGAAGAAAATTGTACACATTTTCTTTTAAATAATTTTTTTATTTTCAATTTTTCACTTGCAATCATCTCGCGAACCCCACTTTGGGAACCCCTGCTCTAATTGAATGTTTAAATAACTTATGTTATTGTCACAAAAGTATTTTTTTCCTCAGCTTCGAAGAGATCTTTTCACTATTGATTTGGAGTGTTTTTATTATTATCTTATTGCTTAAGAGGATATTGGAATCACAGAACTCCTCATGCTTTTACAAATTTCTATTATTATCATCAGCCTGGCAATATTTCCCTTTAGTTGAGTATAGAGGTGGTCTTTACTCCACCATAGACATTAACATACACATTGTGTTTTTTTGCTCTCTGCCATATTAGACCTTGAGATTCAAGGTCTGTGTTTTCATAAGAATGGATGGGGGGATCTTTGGCTCAAGGTTAGCTGGGTGATTCTCTATATATGTGCTGGGGTTTGTGAATAATATCAAACATTTGTGTGGGAAGAGCATTCATAAAATAAATAAATAATCCTCTTTTTCGGACAGAAATATCAACTCAGCGGGAGCCAATGAAATATGTTTGTGTTATCCTACAGCATGTCTATAAAGGAAAACCAGTATAACGACTAATCCTGCTTGCAAGGATTTCTTTAATTTAAAGCTGAGAAGCATTAAACTAGTTATAGAACTATATTCACCATTTCAACCTCCATCTAAAGCAGTGTGTCTTGGCAAACACCATAGGTTTGAATGGCCAACACAGTCATTTTATCTATTTTAAGACAAATCAAATACCAGCTTAACACAAGGACGAACAGTGTCACTGCCTGGCAGCGATGCAGAAAGGAGGCGAGCAAGAGACCCTGGCATGTGTTTTAATTAGGGTGCTTCGAGGCCAACTTAATGAAAGAATGAGGGATGTTCTGGATCTAATATGTGGTTTACATCGCAACACTTTCAATCCTCCACATTATCTTTAGACATCAGTTTTACTCTCCTTTCCTATATCTGTAAAACATGTCACATTAGAAACCATGCTCTAAAGTTCACTTTAAAAAGTGTTGGATCATAAAACTCTTCTGTCTGCTCAAGGACACAGATGCACCCATCATCTCTGTAACTCTTGGATTCAAGCATAGCAAAGCATACTTGACCCATCGAATCATTACCGGTGCCAAAGAGGAAAGCCACTTTATAATGTACTGACTGATAGGCGATGGACACAGAATGGAACTACAACATCTGCCTTAGATGAACTGCAGTAACCCTACTGTTGGCTTTGGCAAAGGTCAAAGTATACTTGGTGTGTTTCATTCTTAAACTTTAAAAATAAATGATACTTTAGCCTAACAAACAATGATTTCAGGTAAAGTCAATTCTGAATCCTTTATTTTTAAATAGATATACTGTGTTTTGAAAGTAGAATATCTGTCAGATGTTGAGCAATGTAACCCTTAGATGCATAAGTGGGTCTTTTTTGACCC